TTGGACAGCTTTAATTGAAATATTTGAAATTTGTTTCCATTACTTTGGACAGCTTTAATTGAAATATTTGAAATTTGTTTCCATTACTTTGAAAGCTCTGGTTAATATGTATCTGACTGGAGAAATAATCCTTGGTCTAGACATAAGGCTTAAATGATGAAAAATCAAACATAGTGAGACTAGGTGGCCTTTAATTTTTTAGTGCCTACAGTTCTAGATTTGCACAGTCCAATACAACAGCCACATATGGCTGTTAAAATTCATTTAATAAATAAAATCTTTAAAAAAATAAAATAGATTTAAAAATTAAGTTCCTCTGTTGCCACTAGCTATATTTCAAGTGCTCAAAAGCCGGATGTAGCAACCATATTGAACCACAAAGATACAGATTTCAATCACTGCCAAGTTTTATTGTACAAAACTGTTTTGGATTGTAGTAATCTTACATTATGATAAAATTCAGTCTGTCTTTGAGGAGATTGCCTCACCTTTTCCATGAGAGTGGATATTCTTGTATGTTGAGCTTTGGGGAAAAAAAATTGTGAATATTTGAAAAAAACTTATGGGAAAACATTGTTCAAGAAATCCTAGCTGCATAACTGCACACTCACCCCATTCACCTAGGCTGCTGCCCTATAATCACTGGTTCTGATTTTAGCATGGACCACATTAACCAGAAGAGCTTGTGAAGAGATCACTGGGTCCCTACCCTCCGTGTTTGTGATTGAGTAGGTCTGGAGTGGGGTCTGAGAATTTACTTCTTAAAAAAATTTTTTATTAACATATAATGTATTATTTGTTTCAGGGGGAGAATTTACATTTTTTAAGAAGGTTTTTATTGGGATGCCTGGGTCGCTCAGTTTCTTAAGGGTCTGCCTTCCACTCAGGTAATCCCAAGGGCCCTGGGATCGAGTCCCCCATCGGGCTCCTTGCTCAGTGGAGCCTGCTTCTCCCTCTGCCTGTCCCTCCCCCTGCTTGTGCACGTGAGTGCTCTGACAAAATCTTAAAAAAAAATAAAAAGGTTTTTTAGAGAGAGCGCGTGCACGTGCACACATAAGCATGGGGTGGGGCAGAGGGAGAGGATCTCAAGAAGACTCCTGGATGAAGGTGGAGTCCAAGGTGGGGCTCCATATCACAACCCTAAGATCATGACCTGAGCCGAAATCAGAAATCGGACACTGAACTGACTGAGCCACCCAGGCGCCCCTGAGAATTTATATTTTTAACAAGTTCCCAGGTGATGGTCTGAAATGATACCAGGTAGAGTAAATATAATTTGGTGACTTGGAGCATTTAAAGGGCAAAAGAAGTGAATGAATCAAAGATAATTGTTCAAGGGCCTAATAGAGTGGTGCTGCTGAGTGGACAAGCTTTGATTATGATGGTGACTCATCCCAACAGAAATGTTTTATTAAAAATTGGAGACATGGGAGTGGAATAGACATGAGCAGATATGAATATAGACACAGATTTTCAGGTCTTAACAGAACTGATAGCTTTAAGAAAGGATGAGCTTTTTAGGAGGAAGTTTAGAAAGAAGATCCAATGTTAGAGACTGCTGCTTGAAAATGTCCATAGGAACAAGGGGGCGAGGGGAGCCAAAAATCAGCAATAATTCAAAAGAAGAAAAGTCCAGTATTTAGGTACAAGGAGTTTCAAAAAAGTGGTAGATGATAGTCAAACCAATAGGGAATGAGGACCGTGAATCCTTGACTTTGGCAGTATAGCGGTCAGCATCTATGTACACATAAAAGATGGGCAGTGAATGTAAATGCACCAAAATGTTTATGGTGGTGGATTAGAGGTAATTTTTTTCCTTAAACTTATGTGATGCTCAAATTTTCTGTAATGAACAGTTTTATTAGGACATTTTTGTTTCTAAAAAGCCACCAGTAACCTTCAAACAGCATCTTTTTCCAAAAAGTGGAGGAGTAACAGAAGCTAGATAACATAGGCTTTGGAAATGGGTAGGTGGTGAGAAAATGGAGGCGGTAAAAGAAAGAACTAGGACAAATGGGCAAGTTTTTGTTTTAATTTAGTAAAAAAAAAAAAAAAACACAAAAAACATTATAGTAGTGCTTTTACTTTTTCCTATAATTCTTTTTTGTTGTTCAATAGATATCTCAGATCTCAGTAAAGATATCTTGCTGTCCTCGCCTTAAAGTTCTTCGCCTAGAAGAGAACTGTCTTGAGCTCAGCATGCTGCCACAGAGCATTCTCAGTGATTCCCAGATCTGTCTGCTTGCTGTGGAAGGCAACCTTTTTGAAATAAAGAAACTTCGAGAACTGGAAGGATATGATAAGGTATGTATTAGTTCCAGAGATAATGGTGAAGTAACCCACATGAACATTTATAGCTACAGGATGTATGCATAATCCTGTTTATGTCAACAGGATTTGTTCCCCATTTTGGAGGTGGATTCTAAAAATTAGCCAAATGGTATTGTGCCAAGGTAACTTTTCCTCCAGGTAGCTTATTGTAAAGCATTTTGTCTTTTGATGGGTGTCTTATTAAAATATAAGGGAAAAACCCCAAAGCTATGTGCTTTAAATTTGCATTTAGAATAGGTCGATTTGAAGGAAATGAAAAAGACCATATCCAATAAAAATCTAAATAAAAAAAAATCACAAAATCCTAATAAAAAAATAGGCTAATATTTGCTTGGGCCAAAATACCACATATTCTTCTTTTATGATTTTTAGTACATGGAGAGGTTCACAGCCACTAAGAAGAAGTTTGCATGATGTTCTCCAGGAGCACGGGAACCTCACAGGACACTGACATGGAATCTCTTGCAATCTGGCTGAATCAAAGGCTCCTGTTGTTGTCAAGGATTATCTGCAGTAAGGAGATGATACTCCCGCAGATATTTCAATGATCTTTTCCCTTTCCAGGGCTCGTCCTAAGCAAGCTAAAAAATCAAGGGACAGTAAGAGTCCTCCATTTTGAGTCATGGATAAGGGTAAAGGACAGTGTTGATCATCAAAACCATCATTAGTCTGGCTTTAAGAAAAACAGTAGCTCATTGCTATTTATACAATGAAGGGATGCTGCTTGGTCACAGAATCACTCCGTATCACAGCTTGAAATTTCATGTTTAGTTTCAGTGTATGAACTTTCATAAAGTCAGTTGCCATTCCACCTGCATTAACATTTCATATTTTTATGAAATATAGTTTGTGAGAGGCTACTATGGTTAATCTAGGATTTATGATTTTATTTCAGTCCATCAGTTCAATCGCAGTGTGTATACTTGGAATTTAGAATGTACATAAATATGTGACTGTCTTGATTAAAAGTGTATTGTGTCAGAGAAGCACCAACACAACACTAAGAGATGTTCCCCAAGGCTGCAGTAGCAAATTTTTTACTATTGCATGTGCCTTACTGGTAGAGGGCTCTGAAGAGCTAAAACCATATATGCAAAATTTGTAAGATACAGAGGGTTGTAATAATCAAGACTTTCCTGAAGCTTTGTTAGAAATAATGTCTTACTTCTGGTAATCCTTTTCCTTTTTTGCGTTTATAATTCTACTAATCAAATTACCTATCCAAAAACTACTGCTACAATATTTTAAAATAACCTATGTTTATAAAGTTTATTCTCTGGATGAGAGAATATACTAAATAAAGAATTTTTAATGAACTTCCGCTGGAAAAAGTGTTAATCCTTCAAAGGAAGAAGACAGGAGAACTTTAACCTCTGTGTGGCCCTTTGTTTGAAAGTAAACTGTTTAGAAAGAAATGTTTCCTAAGGTGCAGGAGTACTGAAATGCCTTCATGTGACTGATAAGCATTTTGCAGTACTAAAACCATGCTTATTAAGAGAAACTGAAAGTACAAAGGTAGATGACGTCAGGTTGTTACTGACATGAACATTTCGGAGACTACCACTCTCAAATGTTCTGAGGTTTTGCCTTTGGCAGGGCAATTTAGCATGTATTGTCAGTTCTTGTTTTATTAACCTAGTTTAACCATTAAGTCAGTAGATCACAACAGCTTAGTGTTTATATGAGGAAGTCTCTCTGACTTTAAATCTGATCCGTATTCTAAATCTGATCCGTATTCTCTATTTCCCATGTTATTTTGTTTCTCAACATGGGGAGGGATGGATGGGCTGCCAGTTTATCGTTAGCAACTGAGTTTTGCTTTTTGTAAACTTCAATGCTTAATCTTTTTGGTCTAAACAATGTTTCTCTAGATTCTTTATCAGTGCTTAACATCTAATAAATCAGAGCTTCTTAAGTAAACAACTTAAATGTCCCCAGACATTTAATTAACTGGAGTTAAAAATATCCCCCATCTCTGAGAATCAGTGACTGCTAGCTTTCACAACTTGTACCTTATTTCCAGATACCCTTTCTTCACTCTTATTTAACCTGCCCAGTCATACCAGATTATTCTGCTCCTTAAACCCACAGTGCAGTGTCTCCCCTGTAACTGCCTTTACATTGTTTGCTCAGTCAGGAATGTCTTCTCTCACTAACGTGCTCCTTCTATCTAAAACCCATTTTAAGTCTAAGCCAAATGAATTGCTCCCCCATCTGTTATGATAGCACTTTCCACATTCTATATTCATCTGTCTCTTGCTAGAATGAGCTACTTGTGGGCAGGAACTATGTAAAGTAACATGCCCACATTTATACCGCACAAGTATTTAGACTTACCTATGAGCTAACATAACGAAGTTGGTTAACTTGTGTGTGGTCTGGAGACCCATATTCTAGTTTGGCCACCAGCCCTAAGTCACCCACATTCTTTTAGAACTTGGTCGGAAGTCGGTGTAGTATATTAAGCTCATGGACCTTGGAGTCAGAAAGATCCTGGTTTGAATACACAGTCTGTCATTTACTAGCTTTGTGAATCTGAGCAATTTATGCTCATCTGTAATATGGTGAATACCTCCAACCTTTCAGGTTTGTTATGAGCATATGGTAAAAAGATACATAAAGGCATTTTAGCAGGGTGCCCACGATAGAGTAAGCAATCAATAAATGGTGCCATTTATTTCACCTGTAAAGCATTAAAATAGAAGTTAGCAAGTCATTATAGAAATGGTAGGCTTGGAGCAAATACTACATTAAAAAGGATGAAAACAAATGACTAGAGAGTAAGGAACTTGAATATCATCAATCTGAGAAATACAAATCTGTTTAGGAATGTAACTGGGATAACCTGGAATTCTGATAAGACAAGACAGTGACCTAAAGAAAGTAACATTTAAGGAAACTAATTCTAAGTGCAATTGAGTATAAAATGTCTGGGTTAAGAGGAGATTCATAATTCACACATGACATGAAAAGATCTAAAGTGTGGTAACAAGGATGAAGGAAGGGACACCTGGGTGGCTCAGTTGGTTAAGTGTCTGCCTTTGGCTCAGGTCATGATCCCAGGGTCCTGGGATCGAGTCCCACATTGGGCTCCCTGCTCATCAGGGAGCCTGCTTCTCCTGCCTGCCGCTCCCCCCGCTTGTGCTCTCATTCTGACAAATAAATAAATAAAAAATATTAAAAAAAAAAAAAAAAGGATGAAGGAATTGTGAAGGAAGAAAGAAACAGGCATAACTATTGGGGATAAATACCATTGTCATTCTAAGACTGGAAACTTGAAGAAGGAGCTTACTGTTAAAAAATTAAATTCAGGGTGATTATTTTTGAACTTCTTAGTTATAGGTTAGTGTTATGCTCAAGAACATACAACAAGTAAATGACTAAAGTAAAATTTGAAACCAGGTGGTCAGACTCTAGAGCTTGTGTTAATCACTTTCAGTTACTACCTTTCAAAAGTAATGGAAACAAGTTTCCAGACAATGTTAACCAGAGAAAATCAGAAAAGGCTTTAAGTCAACAGCTTGTATTTCTAGTGCATTATGGACCTAACTTCTATGGCCTCATTCCTCTTCTTTCTCAGTAGGAGAAGCTTTGGCAGAGTTTGTAACCTGGGATCCATGGATTTGCTTTCAAGATCCACTGATACGTGATTCTTATTTATGTGTGATTCATGTTTGTGTTAGTATCTATTTCTCTGGGGAGATAGGCTATGTTGTCTTTCATCAGATTCACAAATGGATTCTTGACTGAAAAAGCTCCACCCAAGAAAGAACAGCAACTATAATTTATTAAGCTCTTACATTTATTGGGTGATGCTCTCAGTTCTTTACATGGCATCACCACACTGACTTTTCATGACAACTCTATGGAGGAATTATTAATCCCCATTTACAGACAAGAAAACTGAGGCACAGAAATGGGCTTACAGTCTCAGTTAGCAAGTGGAAGAGTGTAAATGCAGACAGTTGAGTGTCTTAGCTTATACTTCTAACCAATTATAATGTGGGGGCAGCATTTTGGTATCCTCAGAACTATTACCTTTAGCCATAAGATAAAAAAATTTCTTAATGTTCTAAGCAAGGGCATTTAGGTATAGCACAATCCCCAGTATTTTGTACTTTCTCTCTTTTACACATTTACCACCACCTACCAAACTACTCCTTTTGGCATGCAGCATTTCTATGCCAGAGGGCCTGATTGAATCTCACTCTAAATATTTTCTGTTAGGCCTATGAAAGTTCTCATGTTAACAGTATCTTCAGTAAGTGGGTTGTAGTTCTAGTGCATAAACATCCTTTCAATCATTAGTGTATTAAAGCTCAAATGAGTAAGAGACTAATAATAATTAAAATGAACCTCATGACAAATCGTAGGAAGAAAAGTCCTGTCAGTATTTCCGATAAAAAATGGGAAAGGTGCTGAAGGCAGCTTTCCATCAGAGTGCTTCTTGATTTATGGACGTTTGCTTTATTCAATTTGTTAAGAGCTGATGAAATTATTGCCCCCAACACTTGCCAAATAGTCACAGAAACACATTACCTATTTGAAAGAACAATTCCACCAGTTAGTTATAAAATTTAATTGTAAAGAGCAAGCAGTGGTTATCGGTCAAACCAATCCACATTAATAGCTTTGAAGTGTGCAGACACTAGTTCTTAAATAAAGGTGACGAATACCAATCAGATTCTTATAAAACTGTTCAGGATCTAAATAAGTGTGATTCTGGACATAATTCAATCTACAAGGCTAACTGAATGATAGTGCAATCATCAATAATTAAACCACAGGCATAATTTTCCAAATCACTTTTAGTTAAACAGAATAAATTCTAGCCTTTTTAAGGTCTAAAGCTACAAAAAACTCAAAGCAATCTATTTTTCTACCTGAGATCAAAACAAGTTTCTTTTTTCCTATCTAAACATAATTCTTGACATTGAGGTAAATCTGAATTCACGTAATATACTTTGTCAAACTTTTCCAAAAAATTTTAAGCCCTGCTTTAGAAATTCTCATGTTACACATACATATTTACATATTTTTTTCTTCAAAGACTAATGACAAATTTAAGAGGTTAACAGGCATGTAATGGGACCATGATACTACTACTAATGTGAAAATAAAAAGTCATTCATTTATACAAAGTGTTCCTGTATGGTGCAGTATGAAATGGGATCACTGTCTATGTACATACACAAATCACCAAATGTTCAGAAACTAAGCCCATTCTGAGAAAAGTCATTCTATTTTTTTGGAGCTGAGGTTGGCAAGTTGTGACGTTTAACAAAAATATTGTGTATAAACCAAGTATTAGCCTAAATTGGCAATAACTGCAACTTAAATGAAAAATTAAATCCAGCTAGATCTTTACTGTGGCTATGCAACTATTGCTTTGTGGCCTGCCGGTTTTACTGACCTAACAACCTCCTCTCTCTTGCCTCTGCTCCTTGTGCTCCCCCTGCCTCCAGCTTCCTTCTTCATGGTTGTCTTTGGCAATGCTTCCAAATCTTGAAAGCAAAAGAACCTGCTAAAGTAAATGAGGAGGATGAAAAATAACACTATATATGATGTACAAAAACCAATCTAAGACTATGGACTGAGAAAAAAAAAAGGCACTAGAAGGAAGGCTGAGCAGTAGTATACCCTCAAGGGAAAGAGAACGTAAAAGAATAAGGGGTCCGTACTCGGGGCCTTCTTGCACATTATCTCCTGATTGAGAAGAGCGTGGAACCAAAACGTCAAACTCTGAAAAGATAATGACTTTGAAGGAGGAGCTAGAGAAGTGAATACACGATAAAGAAGTACAGCAGCAGCTTTAGCTGTCAATGAGTTTCTTTGCTCTGGCATTGGCAACATCAATACGATCTTTGTTGGTGTCAGCCTGAAAAAAAGAAAAAGGTACCAGCATTATGTTACAAGGTAACTTCCTCTAATAAAAGTTGAATTTCGTACACCTGGAGTAAATGACACACTGAGAAAATTCAGGAAACATATAGTCACATTACAAAACTCATTCTGGGCAAAAAGAGAGAGAACATGAAATTCATTTGGGAAAACCGGGAATATAAAGGTTTAACAGAAGGTTTAGCAGAAGAACTTGCCAGTATTTCATGAATTCTGTAACATTTTCTCATAGTTTAACTGGGATGCATCTTACAATCAATGCCATTTTCGATGCAATGAAATTAAGAATGCTTTCTGCTATAGATGAGGAAATTGTGGGAGTCCCTTGAACTGAATCATAGGATCTTATCTGAGACTACTCTAGGTCTAACCCAGAGAGACTGAAAGAACCTTCCCCAGATTTTTGTAACAGATGGATTATCATCCACATCAATATCTGACCACAGGACAGCTTTGAAAGCATCTTATGAACCACTGTTTGCCTCCATGAAATCCACCATTAAGTGACTCAATAGAACTAAGCTTAAAAACTCACCCCATCCTTTAAGGGACCCTGAGATTTTTAATGAAATAACAATAACAAGAATGGTTTTTAGCCATGGCACATCCAAACACTGAATACAACTTCATTTTCAGTATCTTTTATATCATGTGAAGAAAAAAAAAATAGCAATTCCATCTTATCTTTACCCATAGGACCCTGTTTTGTGTGTCCACTCCACAAGAACTATTCTGCAGAATTGATTTTCACTTAATGACTCATGAGATGAGGATTTAGGAACTTACTAATTTGTTAGTAACAAAATAAAACTCCAAAAGCTAACTCATTCACTCAGGGGAAAAAAAATATAGCCCTCCCAAAGGTTAGAGTAGACTCTAAGCTTCGTGTGTGAAATTTTAAATAAAACCACTTCATTCCAAGGTCTTGGTTTCAAAATGAACCAACTGCCATGAACAAGAGATAGGAGGACCTGGCTATAATTTTTCAATGTGTTAGAAATGCCACCTCATCAAAACTGTAAGACCTGTGAGGACAGGATCTTCTCTTATTGCCCACCCCCCCCCCACCAAGTATCAAGCACAGATGTCCATTACTAAAGTGTCTCAAATTCCTATGGCATGAAGGAGGATTTACCTTTTCTGTGATCCGGTGTATTTGTCGATTTTGAGCCTCGATCTCATTGCCCATGTCTAGGGCCATGTTCTTTAGGTTTCCTAGGATACTGCCCACTTGAGTCAGGTTCTCTTCCATCTCATCCTCTCTGGCATCGTTAGTTATACTATCACAAAAAGACAGTTAATTCAGTACTTTTTGGTGAATTATAAAAATGGACTAAATCTGGATTTAGTTTTCATAAAAGTAAGTAACCAGAATGACCTCAGCAAGTGTTAGACCCATGGGAAGATAGGTTACCGTTCTCGGAAAACATTCTGTAGTAAAAATTGAAAGACTGACCAAGAGAACGCAATGTCTTAAAGCCATGTAGAAGAAGAAACAACTCTAGAACAATGGTTCTCAATGAGTGATCACAGCATCACCTGGGAACTTAGGAGACATGAAAACATGCAAGTTCTCACACTCTACTACAGATCTACTGAATCAAACTGGAAGTGGATCCCAGCATTCTAAGTTTTAATAAACCCCCAGGTGACTCATGCACACTAAGTCTAAAGAACCACTGCTGTAAAACAGGTTGCAAAACTCTGGCCCAAAGGTCAAAACTGGCCTGCCACCTTATGGAGTTATTCTTAGAAAATGTATTATAGGCCCTAAGGAGTGTGGAAGCAGCTGAAACATCAGCAGCTTTTGAATGCAGGGGCCCGGTAGGAGCAGGACCCCATGATCCCCAGGAGCAGGGCATAAGTTAGGAGCTATGAAAGAATGTAACCCTCAGTCACCCCTTTCTGTACCTGGCGATTGCCAGCCCAAACATCCTGCTCCTCCCTTATCCCATGACTGACTCCCTGCGTGCCTACGCGCAGGGGAAAATGCAAGCCTATTTCAAGATATTTGCCATCCCTTTGTATTCCTTTCCCATGCTCGGAGGCATCTGTCCTTGCTTTTCTGATAAAAAAATAAATAAAAAATAAAAGCTATGTGCAGGATTCAGCGGCTGCTGCTCTCCCTTGCAGAGGCAGCCCCACATGGCCACTCAGATTGGTGTCTGAGAACTTTATTTCAGTGTACGACGACACCACCTGATTCTGTAAATAAGGTTTTATTCAAATACAGCCACGCTCATTATTTGCTTACATATTGTTTATGGCTGCTTTCACCCTACAACAACAGAGTTAAGTAGCTGCAATGGACACTGGCCTGCAAAGTCTGGAATATTTACTATCTGACCCTTTACCATTATCTTTATAGGGATCTGGCCAACCCCTATCTCCAGATGATACATTTTTTTTTTTTTTAAGTAGGGCTCCACGCCCAGCATGGAGCCCAACACGGGGCTTGAACTCACAACCCTGAGATCAAAACCTAAGCTGAGATCAAGAGTCTGACGCCTAACTGACTGAGCCACCCAGGTGCTCCTGCATGATACATTTTAAAACACATTCTCCTATTTATAGAAGTAAAATATGCTTACTTGGGTAATTCTGAAAGTACTGAAAAACATAAAGAAGAGTTAATCCATCAACCAAAGTCAAGAACCACAGTCAACATTTTGTCAGAAGGCAGATTATAAAATGTATTTTTCAAATGGAATAAACACTGTTTCTAACTGATGAATTAGGGCTCATGTACAACACTCCCCATCCTCCTGAGTGAGCAATTCATTTAGGAAAGGGGTAAAGAGCACCGGGAGGAGCCGGCATACCGTTTAATGTAGCCACCGCTAGCTGCTCCAGTGGCTGGTGGTTGAGGCTGACCGTTGGTCACTCGGCCTGGCTGCTTAGATACGACATTGCTAGGACAGTTGTCTCCACCATCTCCCCATGTTGCCTTGTAGGCCTTACCAGACTCAAAGTTCTTTGTCCTATATAAGTCAGGAGTGTAGAGAGATACGGAAAAGCAGGAGGGGAAAAAGTGTAATTATTAGTGCTTTTTACCTTCAGGATGACCCTAGCGCCCTTAGCACAAAAGCTACCTACAGCTAGATCCACATTAGCTCTACTATGCTCTGCTATAATATGGTATATGAAAAAGATGAATTGTGTAAGCCCACTGACATTAAATACTTTTTTTAAAGGTTCAACTATTTCCACAAAATGTTCACTAAGCAGTTAGCAAGTAGCAAATTATTTGACTTTTTAGGTTCCCCTAGCCTTTGACAGTCTTCAGAAAAGAAAATAGGGGATACCAGGACAAAAAAATTCCTTAGGAAAGGTGTTCTGGGGTTCCGTGGAGGGATCTCACAAGTTGATGAGGGATGGAAGAGAAAGAAGGCTGAGTGGGCAATACTCAGACCCCAGGTGCCCACTTATTTGAACCAGAGTAGATCCAGCTGATTCAGTTTTTTAAAGTTAGAATTTTGCATTAAATTAAAAAAACAAACAAACAAACAAACATTGTGAAAGAAAGGCATGAATTATTTCCAAATTGAACAGTCAACGATAACCATCTTGACCACACTGGTACCAGTTACAAATCCTTTGATTTAGGGCTTTTTCATTTAAGGTTTACTTTTCCTCCTTTAAAAAAAGATGATCCTAAATCCAGGCCTCTTAAAAATAAAAGTATATGCTTTAGATGTAACTAATATAGTCAAAGCCAGAATTTTATCTAGGGATTTACTACTCAAACTGGTAATAATGGCAAGAAAAAAAGCCTTGTAAAGTGACTTTTAAATGACTGTTACAAAAAAATTACCACAAAACTTTTTTACTGATTATTTGGCTAGGTACACTTTTCACTCACACAATTTTAATTTTTACTTTTCTATAAACAAAAAGTAGTATATAGCTATAATATTGGTCTCTGATTTATTCCACATAATGTTAACAAGGAAGTCTCAAAACTGCAATAACAGAGGAGAGATTTTTATGAAAATGGTAGTTCTTTCCTTAATAGACATAAGGATTCCTTTTTGGCAAACCTAGAATCAGCTTTTAAACCTTAATCATTAATGCTACAGAAAGGGTGCTACTACCTTTTTTATAAGAGGTACTGAAAAGGTAAATATATCTATGAACACTGAAAAGCTAATCAAAGTGCGTTTCTTGGTTCCACTTTAAGTTCTCACAGTTTCCTACTTGTGCTATGTTTAATTAATTAATTTATTAACAAGCCATGTTAAATCTGTCCTGGAACAAGGTGGGATATACCTTTTCTAAACGAATACTTATATATAATTATCTGTTAGTTTGGTGAAACCCATTTACATGTATTCTTTTTTAATAAGGTAAGTTCTCAGACAAAATTCTAAAGCAGAGGAATACCTAGTAAACAAACCGCATGTAAGTTTATCAGAAAGTTAATAACCAGATGTAGTAATAGAAGTAATATAAGACAAGCACAGCTTTTATTGGGATGTCAGATTGTAGAACAAGTATAAGAGTGAGGGCTGGAATTCAAAAGTCACTATATGAATGATATTATGTTTCTGAGAGTCATAGTACATAAAGAGTAGACTGGGACCAGGACCTGCCAGCTCCTGGTCTATCAAGGAACATATACATGCTCCAACATCCTTCTCAACCTTAAGAGATGAGATTTGAAATTCCTTTAAGTTCTTGAGAATTCTTCCTTCCATAATTAGATACAAGGGGCTTAGGATGCAAATGAATTGTTTTAACATGATATTATGAATGAGTTGCAATTAAAGCATGGTCTGTGTTATAAACAAAGAATCAGAATGGTTATCAAATCCTTCTCCCTTTAAGAGAACTGGATCCTAGAAGATGTTCTTCTAATATTAAGGGGAAAAGGAATAAAAAGCTGACTCTGAATTTTTCCTTTTACAGCTTTGCATTGGGTTGTCATGTTTACTTTCAAATGAGTTGGGAAAAAAAACTGCACTTTTCTCACGCAGTTATGATATATTCTCCATGTTTATGAAGAGGTGATTTTTTTTAAAAGATTTTATTTATTTATTTGACAGAGAGAGACACAGTGAGAGAGGGAACACAAGCAGGGGGAGAGGGAGAAGCAGGCTTCCTGCTGAGCAGGGAGCCCAATGCAGGGCTCGATCCCAGGACCCTGAGATCATGACCTTAGCCGAAGGCAGACGCTTAATGACTAAGCCACCCAGGCACCCCTGAAGAGGTGATTTTTAAATGGTGCTCATTTTGTATCTTCATCCACATGACTCCTCCGTGTCTCTTTTAGCACGTGCACTCTAGGTAATGCCTTCCAGTTTACCCTGCTACTTGCCATCACCCTGGATGGAGTTTGTCCCCCGAGGTGGAATACCCCTGAAGTTACCTGTTTTTAAGGAATTGTCAAGTAGCTGCCCATCTAATAATAATGATGATGATAATGGTTTTAATCTTGTTTGTCTTCCTTCAAAGGGTCTTAAATGCTTTATTTTTTTTTTAAGCTTTTATTTATTTGTCAGAGAAAGAGAGAGATCGCAGAAGCAAGGAGGCATGGCAGGCAGAGGGAGAAGCAGGCTCCCCGCTGAGCAAGGAGCCCAACGCAGGACTCAATCCCAGGACCATGAGATCATGATCTGAGCCGAAAGCAGATGCTTAACCGACTGAGCCACCCAGGCATCCCCAAAGGGTCTTGAATGCTTTAAAGGTAATATTTCCCGAACCTGACTGAACACAAGGCAACCTGGAGGCCTTTGAACACAGAGATGCATAAGTTACATGCTACAAATTTTGTTTTAGTATGTATGGGGTAGAGCCCGGGAATCTTTTACTGTTGTTATTATTTTATTTAAATTCAAAAGCTCATTTAGCTTCCCAGCCAGGGAAAAGAAACACTGTCTAAGGGTCTACCAATCTCTTGTAGAAAGAGTATTTTAGTTACTCCAGTAGTCTACCTTAGTATTTCTATATATTGGGACACTGAGAATTAATCTAGACAAAGCAAAAGTACACACCAAGATTTTTTTTTAAAAGGCCACAAGATTGTAATATATTGACCTGAATCCCAATCCTAGACCTGTCACTCTATTGCTGTAGAACCTTTTTTTTTTTTAAGATTTTATTTATTTATTTGAGAGAGAGAATGAGAATGAGAGAGAGGGAGCATGAGAAGGGGTAGAGTCAGAGGGAGAAGCAGACTCCCCGCCGAGCAGGGGGCCCAACGCGGGACTTGACCCCAGGACTCCAGGATCATGACCTGAGCCTAAGGCAGTCACTCAACCAACTGAGCCACCCAGGTGCCCTCTATTGCTGTAGAACCTTAAGCAAACTTCCATTATTTGGCTCAGTCAGGTTTGAGAAATACTACCTTTAAAGCATTTAAGACCCTTCGGGGACACCTGGGTGGCTCAGTCGGTTAAATGTCTGCCTTTGGCTCAGATCGAAGGATCCTTATACATCCATATACATCCTTATATGTAAAACTAAGATAAAATGACAATACTGTACTAATATTAATAGTTCACAGGACTGTGAAAAAGATAATAGATATAAATTACTTTGAAAAGCATTAGTCAAATATTTCTATTATTTGGCTTCAATCTCAAACTGATCCTTACTTAACAGTTCATGCCTTTAAGTGCACAGATTACCCTATGGCATGTTTACTATTCTGGCCCATTAATACTCCCTAGCTTTGAGATCTACAGGAGCTGAATATAGTTGGAATATGGCTACGTAAAAAGACAACTAGGCCCAAGTTGTTTTGGCCTACATTAAAAAAAGAAATGGTTCTGATCTGCGACCGAACTCTTGCTTAATAAAATTTACAGCCCTTCTGAGAAGAAATTAGACTTTATGATAAAATGCTTAAGCAAATTTGTGACAGAATTGCTATTAAGAACGCCATATGCAAAGTTAGATTTACCCTGTCAGTTGTGAGGGGTTTAATAACCATTACCACTTTTTTCTATATAAATATCTCATTCAAAAATGGCAAGTTTGAGGGCATCTGGGTGGCTCAGTCCATTAAGCATCTGCCTTTGGCTTAGGTGATGATCCCAGCGTCCCGAGATTGAGCCCCACATCGGGCTCCCTGCTCAGCAGGGAGTCTGCTTCTCCTTTTGCCCCTCCCACTGTTCGTGCTCTCTCAAATAAATGAAATCTTAAAAAAAAACACAAAAAAACAAAGAAACAAAAGAACAAAAATGGCAAGTTTGAAATAAGAATTTGAAATATCCCTTAATCAATTCAAGAAGCTGCTGTAAAAGCAGAAAACAAGTATCAAGATATGATCACGGGGCGCCTGGGTGGCTCAGTCAGTTAAGCATCCGACTCTTGATCTCAGCTCGGGTCTGGATCTCAGGGTCTTCAGTTCAAGCTCCACATCCAGCTTACTTAAAAAATAAATAAATAAAATTTAAAAAGTTAAAGAAGATATGATCACAGTAATTTTAACAATTTATTTAGTTCTGGTTGTCAACATTAATATTAACTGAATAAAAAGAGCAAAAAGAAAGCCCAATATTAGCTATAATTCTTTCATATCAGGAAGAAAAGGGACCAGATAAATACCAAATGTAATGAGCACGTGTGTGTGTGTGTGTGTTCTGGGTGATCAGGCTACAGGAGGGAAGAAAAAGGAGGTCAAGAAATAAAGGGTAAAAATTGAATGCTTAATTTTCTAACATTTAACCATGGTCTTCACAGTTCCTTTTAAGATCCAAAATTAAGGAGTCAAACATTATACTAAACAGTAGGCAGACTATAGGGTTAACTTTCATAAAAAATTAAGATTAGTTAGCTCCGTATTAATTCAACATGAAACCAGAGCAAGCTATTATGTGACATAGTAGGAATTATAGAGCAGATTAAGAGGGAAAAATCCTTATTTAAAGGAAGAAAATACCAGATAAGGTAACATTTTAAGTTTATATCCCACCTTGTTCCAAATGGTATTCAAGATGACTAGATTGGCAATTAATTCCAATTTGGTAGTGGCCTA